CCCCCCCCCACACACACACACACACACACACGGTGCTTTCACTGACCTTTCCGATGCGTTTGCCCTCCACCTTCAGAGCCTTCATCTTAGAGAAATAGTGATAATAAGTCACCACGTAGGTGATGACTGACTTCTCGTCAGGATGGTCCACGCTGATGTCTGAAACCCAAACACATCATTGGTTCATGTGTGTCGGACTGAGAGGGACATGTGACATTTAACGTTGCTCGCACACGACAGTTGTATGGGCGGGGTTTCTGTATGTGGGCGGAAATCTCTTTGTGTAGGCGGTCTCTCTGTATGTGTCTGTGGGTGTGTTCTCTTGTGGGTGGAGACCTTGCATGTGTAGGTCCTCGCAGTGCGGGCAGGGTCTATGTGTGTGGGCGGAGTCTCAGTGTGTGGGCGGGGTCTCACCCTCAGGGTCCAGCAGCTTGGTGAGGCCCAGGTGTTGCTCTGCCAGGTTGAAAGCGTTCTGCAGGTTGTGGTGAGCGTTGGATTTTTTCAGTTTGTCAAAGTCGATCAGATCAGGCCTGAAAATAAAAAAAACTTTATTGAAACACCAAACACCAGAGCTGACGACACAGAGCAGTCCATGATGAGGAGAATGAAGATCAGGACGTCACCTGTGTTTGTGGATCAGAGCGTTGAACGCCATCCCGTCTCTCCAGCTGGTGCTGAAGTTGTGAATGTTCACGTTGGGATACCTGAAGAGAATCAACACGATGATGTCACAGCTTTTTTAAACTAATACCACAAACCGCCTCGTTCTCCGCCTCACTGTCTGTGAGTGGGGGCGGGGCCAGGGCCTGTGTGTGTGTTAACTCCTCCCTCAGACTGAAGGGGATATAACACACACGACGAACCAGCGAAATGTTCTTCTGTTGCAAACAAGCCACAGAATTAGTCGCACTGTGAAATCTTTAGCGTGATCGGCCAGTACCCAGAAATTTTACCAGTGGAAACACTGTCATGTATATATATCGTGATTATTGTGTGTACAGTGTGTATACTTTGTATATATTGTGTCTCACCCTGCTGTCTTCATCTGACACCACAGGAGCAGAGCATCTTTAGCTGATCTCTTCTCTTTGTTGTCTTCAGTCTCCACACTGATGTCCTGGATCTGAAGAGACACAACATCACACCTGTCACACCTCCACCTGCACGTTACACCTCCCGATGTTGCCATGAAGACAGAGTGAGGTCACAGCCTGAGAAGACGAGCTCGGAGCAAAGAGCGCCCGCTGTCTCTGATTGTGATTGACCAGGGCTAACAGCAGCTCTGATTGGAGGATGTTATCGGCCAAAGTGGCAGCTGATTGGTTCAGCGCCATGTAAGTAAGTAAGTAAGGAAAGGGTCAAAGGTTGATCCAGGATCTCCCTGTTCTGTGTCTCCATGACGACAGTGTGGTGTCAGTAAAACCAGTATGGACTTTACCCTGCAGGTAAATAACTGACGGAGGAGCTCAACCAATCACAGCGGTCTGAGTCATCCAGGAGGTGTGGCACCTGCTGACACTATAAAAAATGACTGTACTGATTTATCAGAGGAATTAAAGTTCTGATTTGGATCTCTGTTGTGTTGGATTGGTTAATTGTCTTGTCAGAACAGGGCGGGGTCGGGAGAGCTCGATGTGAGCATTCATGTGACAGGAGGATGTGACATTATTGCATTTGCGCATTAGGAGGCGTGACCTGTTAAAGACCCCCCCCCCCCATTACCTGGAAGCGGAGGATGATTGTCCAGATGAGGCCGAGTGTCAGTCGGTGGTTTCCGTCCACAATGTCGTGAGATCCCATGTTCTCCAGGTGAACCCGCTGCTCCTTTAGGAACTGCAGAGCTTTGTCCACATTCTCCAGACAGTGGATACGCATCCGACCTTTGGTCGGCTTTGGCTAGAGAGAGGATGATGACGACCAATCAGGAGTCAGTCTCAACTGTCAATCATGACGTCTCAGCCCATTTTTATATCATCAAATAAAAACCAAACTGATCAGAAACACTTGAAAAAACATCAGTGAGAAAAGAACGAAAGATTCAAGAATTCAATGTGTACTTTTGACTTTTTAATTTGGTTAAGTCCCATCTACTAACATGGAGGAGGAGGGGTTTATGACCTATACTGCAGCCAGACACCAGGGGGCGATCAAGATGTTTTGGGAGGTGTCTGGACAACATGTCTGCTCCACACAGGGTCTTCTTCCTGATGTCTTATAACTCTAATCAGTAAATGTTTGAATCATGATTAAAAATCACAGCTGAAAAACCTGAGGACGGTGAGCGAACACGTTTGATCTCTATGTGTTCAGCTTCCGTCTCGGGGCAGATTCTCACAACAAGAGAAGAAGACATTGTGGGCGTGTGGTTGGTACAGAAGTGTTCAACACAGGAAGTGGAGTAAACGCTCGTCCCCTGGGGACGGATGCTGGACAACAGACGCTGGGGTCGGCACATGGACGTCTCATTAGGACGCCTGAACACAGACACAAGGTCGACGACTCCTCCGCTTCCAAATGCCAACCATGGAAAACAGGAAGTAGAACACCAGGTCCAGAACTGAGACCACGCCCAGTGTGTGTCTGTTGTGTGTCTCTTCTGACAGGTGTGTGTAAATTGACTGTGTGTGTGTGTGTGTCTCACCAGTCTCTCTCCTGACAGAACCTCCAGTAGTTTGATGAGCATTCGTCCGTCTCTCAGATCCATGTAAAGATCCGTGATTCTGCACGAGACTCTGGACAAGTGAGAGTTTACCCATTTAGTGAAGGTCTTCTTCTGCACCGCCTCCCGCTCATCTACACACACACACACACACACACACACACACACACACACACACACACACACAGTTTTAGATTACCTCATACAAATAATCAATAAACACACACGTGACATCTTCATCTGTTGTGTGTTGATCATCATCTTCCATCACATGCTGATAAATATAAATAATCATAATGATGTGATTCATATTTCGGGCTCTCTGTCTCTTTAAGAGTTATTCTGGTGTTTGACCTTTGACCCAGAGGAAACAGGATGTGAGGCGTAAAGCATTTCCATCGTCCAGCAAAGAGCCAATCAGCAGCCCCTCCCCAGAGTCAGATGCAATCTGGGCAACACTTTCATATTTACGTGCTTTTAATGCATGAATTCTACTTCCTGTTCGTCCCCTGCAGGTCAAACCAGGTTCCGCCCGCTGACAGAATAAATATTGATTATCGATCAACTAGATCTCCACATCCTGCTACACACCACACAGGAAGTTGATAGAAAATAAAAGCTTGGTCCCTCTTTTAATCAAACTCATTTAAAACCTGAACATCTATGAACCAGGTGACGAAGAGGCCCCTGGGATCAGCCTGGTCCTCATCAGGCTCCTGGGGACCCGGGTCAGTTACATCATAGACCAGAACCTGCAGCATTTTAAATCCTGATCACACAAATCCACCTGGTTCACGTTGCTTTGACGCAAGCGATGCCACACGCTCCCTGAGATGTTTGAGAACGTGGATCTGAACTTGCACAGAAGATGATTCTCGCCAACCTCAGAGACGTCAGTCTGACTTTACAGGGAGGGAGACGTTTGTGTTCCGCTCAGGATGAACACAAAAACACTTTTCCTCGAGAGCCACCATCAATTAAAACTGTGACTTAATGTCCTTTAAAACTGCGCACACACACACACACACACACACACA